GTTGGGGTGCTTGGTGGTTGCGAAGTTCGGGAGTGGGTGGAAAATACAAGGAAAGGGCAGATGCCATTGCCATGTCGCCTACGCGGCATAGTTTCAACTTTCCCGGCCTACGCACTGCCAAATAAGAAGACTGTCTGGACTTTAAGATATGATTGGTAAGGTGATAAAAACAGACATAACTTTGTGTAAATTGAGAATATAATGATTGGTCAATTCTTGGCAATTATCTATATAACTTAAATCTATTAATTTTATTAATTCTCCATATTTTTAAATATTTACTTTTAATTATTGAAGTGCACTAAACATCTTTATGTACATAACATATAGATATATGTGTTTCCGTGTTTTTATTTAATTTAATTTATTTTTTTTCTAATTTATTACATTTGTAAATGGTTAAGCCAAACTTATATGTATTTTTTTTTGTAATTCTAGAACTTCAAAATTATCATTATATAAAAATTGCTTTTTTAAGAACTCGTAAGCTATTTTTTTAAAATTTTTATAGTTAGAGTATTTTCTTGTCGATTTATTTACTTTATGTTCGAGTTTGTTTTTGTTTTTGGCCAAAATTCACGCACTTTCCGTAGTGCCCCCCTTTTTATGCCTGTGTGCGTGTTTTTTTGGGGCAAGTACATAGAGGCGCCTTTATGTGCGCAGATTTTCCTCCTCCGGCTGGAAAATAGACGATGGGCATACTTTCGCCTCCACTTTCACTTTCACTTGGAAAAGCAAGAGGAAGGGGGGATGGTGGCAGCAAACTTTCGACATCAAAAAGAACTACTTTCGATAATCACAGGACTGGCGCCAGAGGAATTACATTTCAGCAGGCTGCGGGAGAGTTTTTCATGCTTTTTACTGCCTCTTTGGTTTTAAAGTTTGGCCAAATTTCGGGCCTCCTACTTTTATGCGCATAACAAATTCCCATACTTACTGCCAGCTATTTTTTATGCAGTTTTTTATTACTATTTTATGCGTTGGATGAGATCAGCCGAAGAAAAACAATAGCTCAAGAGGTTCTTATTAATTAGGACAGGCTAAACCACCCTTAAAAAGATTAGATTGGCAACATCAAAGGGACCAATGAATCAATGACATCACGATGCTGCTGGGGAAATGGAAAAGTGCAGTGGAAAAACTGGGTGGCTAATGTCCGGTGGTTGGACTTTATCTTGGACAAAAAGTTGGTGGTGCGTGGTCCAACCGGTTTGCCATGGAAACCCCTTTTCATCCGGAGAAAATTCAGGCAGTTGCAGTGGCTAATTTAAAAAGTAGTTTTCACTTACACAAGGGTGGAAGCTGAGATTCAGCTTTGGGGGTAAACAAAAGGGGGATGAATGAAAAGGATTGATTGGCAAGGTGAAACAAATGCATTTAATTTGGGTACTGGATTTCATATCGAAAAGCAAAGGCAAAGAAATAAAAAATTATTTTAAAGTAACACGAAGAGCTGAACAAAATATTTTGAAAAGGAATACATTTTTTTTAATGAATAAATAATATATAACAGTCTGAAATTACTTTAAAATGTTTTTAACATTATTTATATATTGTACGCTAAATAATAATCAAAACAAACTGGAATTACAATATAACGATCATTGTTGTTCAGAAGCTACAGAAATCAGAGAATTTTATGATCAAGAAATAAAATGATTATTTCATGTAAACAAAATAAACTAAACATAAAATAAACAAAAATAAAAAATCGTAAAATATCGTTCTGAGTTAAACACATATTCCTTATTTTTGTGTTGCTATTGAATTCGTTTTAATTCTGGTAAATTTGTTTGTCTGATTGTTCTGTTCACTTTTCAAACATTAAATTAAATTCCAATCAGAACCGTTACAAAAAAGGTTGCCCATCCGGCACTAGCCGCATAGCTTTCATCTTTTGTCAGTGAGCAATAAAATGGTATTTTTTAGGGAATTTATGTTTGGCCAAAGGCATTTGGCGGGATTTTACGATCCGGTCACACTGGCAGAGACGAAGGCGACGAACGTCGAAATTTTCGACAGGAAACTATACGTGATCATTTAAATTTAAAGGAAAACATACAAAATGATGAACGCCGTGTCGCGTGCTTACGTCCGGGGCGGAGCCCAGGTCCTTTCCACAGGACTCAAGGCGACTGGAGGGGCCGTGAATTCCATGGGTAAGATTCAGCGAGGTGGATTCTGTTGCTGGAGTTGCCAGCGAAAAACACAACCATTACATAACGATTGGACCGGGAAAAACAGCAATTAACTTGGCTAAAAGCTGTAAAATACAGCCAGGATACGAATGGCAGGCAGCGTCAAGGAGATTTGGCAAATTTCCTTACGTAATTTCAACATAACCTCGCACAATAACAACAATCAGCAGGAGTTTCAAGCATACCCAACATTCTCATCAAAACTATGGGATATAGACAACCGATTTTGATCAATCTTGGTATACAGTATCTCCTGGACTAATAACACTCCCCTGTAAAGTTTCGTAAACATATCTTAAGAAACCACAAAGTTATGCTAATTTCAAGGTACTAATCCTGTGGCATCTTTAAGATATAGTATTCTTATTTTGGTAACATAAACTTAAACCACACTAGACCATCTTTTGTTGAACTATCATGTGAAAACAAACAAAAATACTGTTGAATTTTAAGAACTAAAACTAGTTCTATTAACAATTAAAAAATAAGTAGTAAACATAAATAGCTTTTACCACTGACTAATGGATAGTTTAAAAACGATGGTTAATGAAAGCGTTTCTATATATAAATTATTTTAAACTAAGCAAAGCTGACTTTCCAGGAATCTTTAAAATAGGGAAACAAATTTAGGTTTTTAAAGACTAATAATTAGAGATACAATTTTTGGCAACGTTTCTAGATGTGCAGATGGAATATCAGTGAAACCCCCTCATAAACCTTTAAAACATGTCTAACAATTTGCTCTGTTTTTTCCAGCTAACCGCCAGGCACACACCGATCTGCAGGTGCCGGACTTCTCGCCCTACCGCCGGGAGTCCGTGAAGGACAGCCGCCGTCGCAACGAGACCGCCGAGGAGCGCAAGGCCTTCTCCTACATGCTCGTCGGAGCTGGAGCCGTGGGCGGTGCCTATGCGGCCAAGGGTCTGGTCAACACCTTCATTGGATCGATGAGCGCCTCCGCCGAGGTCTTGGCCATGGCCAAGATCGAGATCAAGCTGGCCGACATCCCGGAGGGCAAGTCGGTGACATTCAAGTGGCGCGGCAAGCCGCTCTTCATCCGCCATCGTACTGCCGCGGAAATCGAAACCGAGCGAGGAGTGGCCACATCCACGCTTCGTGATCCCGAATCTGATGATGTAGGTACCATAGAATGGGTCGATTTGTATGCAAGCATAGGAGTAAATACTGTTTTCATTTACTGATAGGATAGTAATACAACTAGGTCTATCAACAAAGCTAGATCCACTGTTAAGCATTAGAAAACCCAATTTTGTAGGGATTATTGAGTGGAAAAGTTAGTTTACACTACTTTTTTTTTTAACTATTTAGGTAAAACTTTGTTCAACAAAGTCAAAGATTCAATTTCATTTTATTTATTTTAATAAACTTAAGCTAGTATACAAAACTAAACCAAATGATTGATGGCGGATTGCGCTTAATTCTTTTTGTATGATTACCAAGCAGAAAAATAATTTTAGAAAATACTCAGTTCAAACTTTGCCCAAAATTTAGGTAATTCAAAGTATTTATTTATATTTTAACAAACTTAATGAATTGGCATTCCATTTGAGAAGTTATTCAGTTAAATCTTTGCTTAAAAAAGTCATAAATATTTAATTAACAACTTCAGTTGATTTAATTCAATGTATTACTACATCTTGTATACAAAACTAAATCTTATAATTGCTTTATATTTTTTTAGGACAGTACGTTTTAGAAATTATTCAGTTCAAACTGTGCATAATTTATGCGCACATAAATACTCAACTAATAATTGAAAACAATGAAATTACTTATGTGCGGCTGTACAAATCCACCTTTTCTATTTCCCTATCGAAAACTAAGACAATTCACTAAAATGCTCCTCTAAATCCCATTTAGCAACGTGTGGTTAAGCCCGAATGGCTGGTGGTCATCGGTGTGTGCACGCATCTGGGCTGTGTGCCCATCGCGAATGCCGGTGACTGGGGTGGCTACTATTGCCCCTGCCACGGCTCCCACTACGACGCCTCTGGAAGGATCCGCAAGGGACCGGCGCCACTTAATCTGGAAGTGCCCACCCACGAGTTCCCCAACGAGGGTCTCCTCATTGTCGGCTAGAGAAGCAAACACCCGTAGCGCTGTTATCGTTTAAGCCCCAGAACTACATAGTGAATGGATCGATGTAAATTAATAAAAACTACCAAACAAAACGGCTGAGCATAAACGAAAAATTCATTCGAATTGAGGAGGGATAAATCTTAAGAAAGGACAAAAGGAGATGTGTAGCAGCTTAACTATATAAAAAATGAAAACAAATTTCAAAATTCACTAAATTCCATCATAATAAACTCTTAAAATGTTAAATTTGAAGTATTAAATTTTATAGTTTTGATTATAAATCAATGAACATATATTCAAGATTTTTATTTGAGTCCTTTACTTATGAATTGAAGCTCTTTCTTACTAATAATGTATCATAAAGCTAAATTTAATTTCAAGGAGGGATAAATCTTAAAGCAAAAAGCAAATAAGCAACAGCTTAAATTCAGCTTAATTTAATAAGTGGAAGTAGATTTTGAGATTCTGAAAAACTTTAAATATTTCAGTCATAATAAAGCTTTTAAATTATACATTTTAAAGTAATAGTCATAATTGTTTTGATTTCATATCGAAGAAGCCATATTCAAGATATTGATTTGAGTTGTTAAAATATGAAATTAAACATTTAATTGCAAATCTTGAAGTATAATCCTAATAGTATTGATTTTGTTAAATTCTAAACGGAAACTTTTCCTTAATACGTTTACTTGTGTGTCTTACCTCATTATAAATTATATATGAAGAGCAGAATTAGTTCCTAAGTAGTATCTTTGTTATCCTTGATGTTGCCCTGTTTCTCCAGGATTTCCATTTCGAGTAGTTTGTTTTTCAGGCGCTTTCCCTGCAGTTCCACCTGAAACTTTTCTAAATCCAGTTTGTACTGCTCAAGCTCTACTTTCCGCTGTTCTAGTTCGATTTTCTGCTTTTCCATCTCGACTTTGTGCTTTTCGGCTGCCCTGGAGTTTTCATTTCGATAGTAATCTTGTTGGACTTTCAGCAGATTTAGTTTTTCATCTGCAAGGATGTTTGTGGCCTCCTCTTTTCTCAAATCATTGACTGATTTTACTTTGACTTTTGAAGTCGAAAAGTTTGAGTTGTCCTGCTCGAACGGAGGTTCACTGGAGGTGCTTCTAATAGTGTTTTTGGGATCATATTCTGGATCAAAGTCGGAGCTACCTGGGGGTAGAAATATATATGTTAAATCTTGATTTAAAAATGTATATGCCTTACTTACTTTCTTCATCTTTAACAGCTCCACTGATTGTAGAGACTGCTGAATTGGACAAATCTCGCTGGAAGTCCGTATCATTGAATGTAGTTTTATTGCCCATTTCATTGAGACCCTTTACTCGCTTTAATCGCGTGGAATTTATGTGTTTATCGCGCAATGCTTGCCACGGACGTTCAATTCCGGATTGAATTGCAAAATCTGCGGCGATTTGTTTCCAGGTGTCTTTTTTCTTGCGCCATACATCCGCACCGCTCTTCTGACTGCAAACCACATCCTTGTGCTGCAGGACCAGGTACTCCAGAATTAATTCCTCACCCATTGTGAAGTTTTTCGCACGAGTTCTTTTTCCATTTGCAATCATTGTTAATCCAAAATATTAAATTCGTTAATAAACAAAAATCAGCTGCTTGTGGACGGCGTTGCCACCTTTTGTGGTTTTCGGAGAGCTGGTATATTGGTATATTTCAATCCGGCAATAAAAAATAAAATAAATTCCATTTCAGGTTCTGAGCCTGGCTTTAAAAATACCAAATTCGTATTGCACACTTTCCAACACTAAACCTAAGGCAACAGCTGATAAGTTAAATTCCAGCGGTCTGGCAGCCCCGCTCCATTGTTGTCTGCGATTTTAGTTTGTTGTGATTTGTTGATATTCACATTAAAATCCTTTAGAAATGGCCGAGGAAATCGACGATAATGAATTTTACCGCGAAAACTTCAGTGCCGATTCCGATTGGGAGGTATTCAATGCCCAACTGGGTGAGATACTCCAGAAATGGGACGTATCCGCAGAATCTGACGTGGGCAGGAGTCTCAAGACGGAGGAAATCTTTATGTGCAAATGGAGAGTGGAGCGGGAAACGTTGGATATGCTAAGAAATGGCATCGAAGTGGAGTACCATCAGGCTGTGCTGGAAGATGAGGAGCTACTGAACAAGGAGGAAATCAAGGAGAATCCCTGCCTGCAACGCACCAACTGCCATCATGACCTCATGTCGAGTGGGAATAGCTTTGGTCCTCCGATTAGGAGCTCCCAGGATCTGCATATACTGGCCAGGATCTATGGCCTTCGACGCTTTATAGTCCTGCATCCAGTGCAACCCAATCTCCACTACATGAAGTCCACCTCGGAGTTCAATTTCTTCCTCAGCTCGGTGGCCGTCGTATCCGCTGAGGTGCAGAGCGTTGTGCCCATCTTCGTGCAGATCTACGATCCCAAATGGAACTTCTACACGGGCGTGGCCTTAGCTCCCGCCCTGAGGACCAATTTCCGGCTCATTGGACTGGAGAAGGCCCCGCCCGAGTGTCGTTTTCTGATGGGTCTGCTGACCCTGTTCCGCGAGAAGCTGCCCACTTCGTATTCCCAGGCGGCGGCCATGATCTCTGTGTGCACCACCTATGCATTGGATACGATGCGCATCCGCATGCCCTTGTATGTGCCCTTTGATCGTGGCCTCAGCTCTGAGGACATTGTGGTGGATGGCGAAGTCTCGCCCCTGGAACTGCAGCAGTTTTATGCCCTACCACATGGTTATACACCCGAATCCTGTACGGAAATCTATTTGGTTTACACCTGGCCGGAGTTATCCGAACATGTGGCCTTCGATAGCGAACAAAGAACCGATTTTGTGCCCTCCAAGGCTCCGCTTGGCAAGATCTACCTCTCCGTTGAAGCCTCATCGTATTTATCCTGCTGCCTGAGGGATTACCAATCTGTGGAGGGAGTCACTAGATCCCTGGAGTCCTTTGTGGGCAGAAATTTCTCGGGCACTAGCAGTGGAGCTGAGGCGGGTTCCAATCCATTGGATCGCATCACGGAGCACAACTTGACCAAGAGGCGGGATAGGAGCTACGAGTTGCCTTCACAAGCGGCTTTGACCAAGCGATTGCCAGGTCCCATGACCGAAAGCGAGTTGAGCGAACTTCTGGCCTACCTTTTCCCCGATATGCATCCCGATATGGCGCTGTTTCCTTACGAAAAAAAGAGCTTCAAGGATAAGGTGAGTGGCGGTAAAATGATTGAATACCTTAAAATCAAAAAATATGAATAATTTTATAGTCTAGTAATACATATGATAAACTGGTTTACTAACTTTAATTTAATTTTGTATGGCTTCTGTAGTTTTTCTGGGAGTAAAACTATAATTTTCTGAACCTATGTTCTTAACCTTTTTAATTGGAAACTTTTAAATAAAATTCTATAAATTCATTAAACATTATTATTATAATAAAGCCATTTGATTTAGCTTAATTTTGTTTTTGACCAGCCAGTACTTATTAAACGTTTTTATAATTTGTTTATGCTATGTATTCAATATCTAATACATTTAAATTATTAATTTAATTCATTAAAATGAATGCTTTAAATTAAACCGATTTATTTCATTTAAATACCATTAAAATTAAAATCGACTTTAAATTGGCCCGTATTTACCATAAATTTGTAAACCTTTCCAGATCGATCCCATGCGAATAAAGAGCGCTGTTCCCGACTCCTTGGTTTCACGCCTCAGTTGTCTTTTGGCCACCTGCCACGCCCACTTGGGCAGCGTTGAGGGCATGGCCCAAGTGTGGGCGGCCTTTACCCGCCAACTTCGATTGATGTGGGACAACTGCCTAACAGTTCCAGGGTAAGTAAAACACAATGTCACACCCCACAAATAGTAACAAAAATATGCTTTATTTGGAACTTGATGCGTACGAACTAAAAACTAAAAATACGAGACGTTTTCGTAAATTTTCTAGTAAATTTAGTTTGCTAATCTGTGAAGCCGCAAAGTTAACATTTGAATTTGATGTTTATTTAACAATATAACGCACATTTATTATGGGATCGTGTACTATAAGTCTAGATGTTTTGGGTTGGTGGTGTTTATCTTCATCAAAATCGGTTGGTGTCTTCGTTTTCAGTGTGAGAGATGAGCATTTTTAATGGATTTTCTCAACTATTCCTTTCGGTCAGTTAAGTTTATTATACTTGTTTTGTAGGCTGGCAGTTTGTGGTGTCACCGAATTTAATAAAATTTGACTCATCTCTTGTTTTTGTTTGTTTTTCAAGTGCAGCTAAACCAATTTTAAGCACGTGCTTTCATTTGTTTTCCATCAACGTTCTCCATGTGCTAAGGCAGTTTAATTAAGTTATTTAACACTAAATTTGATTTAAAGTTTCTTATCGTTAATTTGGGATATTTGTTCCTCTACTTTCCCTTTTGCTTGCTTTACAAGTGAAACATTAAACGGAATTTCCTTGAATTTATTGCCTACTTTTGTATTGGAATATTTGTTTAGTTTGTTTGTTCTAAATAATTGCTCCCGTTTTCCACCTAAAATTGTGCTTACTGTACTAATGCTCAAAGCCTTTTTTCTATAACTGATTTACTTAGGGATATAGAGTGTAGATTAAATACAGATAGATAGATATTAGCTTACTTCACTAAGTATCTAGTGCCAGACATGGGCGTGTTGTGGATTCCGAAGGAAATCCGGCCCACGGGCACTAAATATTGTTAACTGTCAACTGTGTTTCGCCACAGACTTGTCCGGACTGTTTATCCGGATTTGTCCCCTTCAACGATAATGATAATCATAATGATAATGATAGGGCTAAAACTGAAATCGTTTCAAACGCTTAAGCCTACGAATTTCTATATACAAACATGTACAGGCGCTCGACCAACAAGCATACAGAATAAAAATAAAAACGAAAACAAATAAAATAGTTTTAAAATTTTCTTTTTATTAAAATCTCACTAAAAGCTAGAAATCATAAACATAAGAAAGAACTTAGCACGCAAATGTTTCAATTGAAGCTTCTCTGTACAAAACGAACTGAAATTGGACTTCAATATGAGTTAAACTAAAACTAATTAGGCAGTAAAATGGTTTGGTTGGTTCAAAAACTACTGGAATGTGGGTAATCAGCTTAAGGCTGGGATAGACAAACATAGAATGAAGTACAAAATGAGTTGAGAAAAATATATGATAAAAGGTCTAGACTAGAGAATGTTTCAAAAGTGTGTGAAAAATACATTTGGTTTTTTTGGTCTCTAATTATCTTGAAACTCTTTAAACTTTAAAAGTAAGGTTTTTGTTTGCTCTTTCTAAATTATTTACATATTGCTTTTCTTGTGCTCTCTCAGCGACTTTTCCGTGCCTGTCTATCCCAGCATTAAAAGGACTTTGCCTTCTTACACTCTAAACATTAGTTAATCAGTTGTTTAATAGCTATTAAGTATAGTTAGTACCATATATTGACTTAAGTTTGTAGTTCTTTGATTGCTCAACATTATAAACTGTTCAACTAATTGCAGAAAAGAACTAGGGAAAGTTGTATTTATTGCACACACTCTAAACGGCATATAAAAATATTTTATTTCTATTTTTGTGTACCACACATTCTGTGTGCAATTGTTATGCATTATGCAGATTCTAAGGGGCCGCAGCAGTGACAACCGTAGTAGCAACATCAGGCTACACGAGCTGCACTCAAGACATGGCCCTGGCCCTGTCTGCAGATGTGTCTGCGTCTGCTGATTTTGTATTTCCTGCAGTTTCCTCTGTGTCAGCCAATGTCAAGTTCAGAGACAAGGACATTTCCCCCTCCTGTTGCACTTGTTCAATGCTTGACACCGAGGTGCTGCCCGCCAAGGATGAGTCCTCCTCCTTCTCCTCCTCCTCTAATGTTGCTGATGTTGCTGCTGCTGTTGCCACTTCTTGCTGCTGCTCCTCGTCACTTAGACTACAATTACATGTACAATTACAGCTATCACTAAACGTATGCGCCTTATAATTGCCAATGTTGCCGGTTGCAACATGATTATTACTGATATTATATAAAATGTTGTTAGTCGTTGTTGCCGTTCTTGTTGTTGCCATTGCCATTGCGGGTAACTGTAAACGGAAGGCATTGCTGCGGGGTAGTTGGCGTGTTGCTGCCGTGCTGTTGCTACTACTGTTGCTGCTGCTGCTTGTGGGATGATGATAAATGATTTCCTGACGTTCATATTCGTTAAAATAGTTCTCAACAACAATGCCACTAGCTGGTGTTGCTGCTGTTGCCTCTGCTGCTGCTGCATCTTCCAGTGTTGCTGTCAACGCGGCCAGCGGCAATTGTTGCTGGTTGCTATTGCTGTTGCTGTTGCAGTCTGTAGTTGTGGCATGGCTATTGCTATTATGGAAATTGGCTGCACGGGGCACCACATCGGGGGGTGAGGTGCAACGTTGTTGCGTCTGCGGCATATAGTAGTGTAATCGTTGATGTTGCTGCTGTGCTGGCTGATATGGCTGCTCCAATTGCTGATTGTTTCTATGTCGTTGTTGATGTCGCTCATTCCTCAAATGCTGTGCAGCCTGATGTTGCAGTTGCTGTTGCTGCTGTAGCTGATGTTGCTGCTGCTGCTGTTGCTGTTGCTGCTGTTGTTGCTCTTGCTGTTGCTGTTGCTGCTGCTGACGCCGACCATGCCCCCTGCTTGCGTGCCCCCCAATGGCCGGCGTCAGATATTGTCAGAAGATGCCGTCCCAGTTTAATACAACATTGAAATATCAGGACAACGTGAGTCGCCCTCATAATGGCACTAATCCATTTCGCGTCGTCGGATTCCGGGCCATATATATGTCCATGTCGTGATCGGTCCAATTGTCCGATGTATCGCAGTAGTTATTCAGCGTGTGCGTCGATCCCGCCTGCGAGTATCTGCAATTGCAATTGCACCAAGTATCGATTATGCCAGAGGATTCACCAGTGCAACACTAACGCATTGCTCAATGGATTTACAGTGCAGCTAAAAATGCTCGAAACCAAGCGAAACGCAATTAAAATTAATGGAATCAGTGGAAATTTATACAGTGCGGGAAGGGGAGGGTAAAGAAGGGGGGGTCTTTTGTTTAGTGGTGAAAGGAATGCATGTATACAATGTAGTTACAGAATTTTGTACATGGATGAAAGTTTGATTTGATTGCGGCCGATGGATAGTTGAAAAGTTGGTTAGTTGCCAATTAAGACTGAAAATAAAGCTTCAGTTTGAGGTACGAAGAGTTAGCTAATCAATGGGGTCATTTATTGGATCGAGAAATTAAATCGGAATGGTAATAACTGTTAATTGCACAATATAAAGCGTTAATTAAAAGGTTTTTTTCTACAATATACATTGATTGATATATAATTTTATTTTATTTATATAAAAGTTCTCAAAAGTAATTAAATTAAATAAAAAACTAAACGTTAAGTTCGGTTATTAGAATTGGTAAATAGGGTTTTTAATTGCATATTTAAAAAAAGAGTTTTATGCAAATTAAAAAACACCTATTTTTCCCACGAAATCCCCATTAGTGATTAAATTGGACTTAGAGAATTTTGAAACGGTCTCTAATAAATCAAAGTCCCCGCCCCATGCATAAAAAAACGAATTAAATTAATGACCGACGGAAAGCCATAAACCAATGAACTAAGAAACTTTCAACGCAAATGTTGAAAACGAGAAACATAAAGAAAGAATTGAAAGTGTAATTTTGGATGTGTGATTTGTGATGCGTGATAAGCACCTTACGAATTAAGATATCACAGAAGTGTGAGATTTTGAGTGGGTGCGTGGTCGCTTTAATTAGTTTGTCCTTGGCTTAAAATGTTTTTTTTTTTTAATTGGATTTTTATTCCCCTGCAGGGGGTTTTTTTATTTCATTCGAAAGTTTGTTTGTCTGTCAGTTTTAACCAAACTAGTCTTTCAGTTTTAAAGCTTTCTAAATAACACTTTCTTAAAAGTCTTCTACTTCTTGCAGCTCCCTTATAGCTCCCTAAAAAATTATACTTAGCTGTTTCTGAATTTATACAAAGATACTTCAAAATATAGAGCTGGTTAACTATTTTAGAATTATAATTTAATTTTATGTTAATCGGACAACGAACGATCAATAAGTTTAGCAGAAAATTCATGTAACAATAGTTCAATTTCTATGCCAAATTTATTTGGGGTGTAGTTTTTTTAAAGAATATTTGATTTTAGTAATATCTGCAAGGGCATATAAACCTTGGCTACCTTACTTGTTTTAATTTTGGTTTTTTCTTCACTATGAGTTACACTACTTACCGACTTCCTGGTCGATGGTTATGTATGTGGGTTGCGTTCAGTTGTTCGCGTGACCTGGAACGCGGTCGCGATCTTCGGGCGCTGGAGGCAATGCTCGCGGGTCCGCCGCCGCCGACCATGCCGCTCATGGCCATCAGGCTGCTCACGGGGAGGCCACCGCCTCCCACTCCTCCGTTTCCGCCGCCGAGGCCACCGCCTCCTCCTCCGTTTCCACCGCCCCCGTGAATCGATCCCGCATATGAGGCACGGGACATTCGCTCCGAGGCGGCGGCCAGGGATTGCCGGGATTGTCGCAATTCCGGCCGGGAATTCACCAAGTTCGAGGGGAAGGCACTGCCCAAATAACCGCGATGCGAATTATTCGAAAAACTGTGCTGCGACTGTCCATCCGCCAGGGATCTACTGTAGTCACGTGTGTGTGTGTGTGTGGGGGTGGGTGTGTGTGTTATATGTTGTTTGCGTGCGTTTGCGTTTGTGTGTGATGCAAAATTAAACAATGAAACAATCGAGAACGAACGCAATAAATAAATAATAAAGAAAAACAAAACGGCAAGGCTTTTTGTAAAAAATGCAGCAAGCTCGAAATGTAGGCCAAGCAAATGTTCGATTGCTGAAGGTTATAAAAACCCAAAAAAAAAAAGGGGATTGGACTCACCTTGATTTGCCCACTTTGCCGGGCATTCCGGAGAAGTGACTTCGCATGTCGTCCGGTTGTTCCACTGGATAAATCCTGGGCCTCGGTATCGAGCGACCACTGTAGGCTGACACCTGATCCCATTCCTGCAAAAAAAAACGGATATGAAAGTCATTAGAAAAGAGTTTTTAACTTAAAAAATGTATTTTTTGCTTCAGTAATAATTTGTAATTGGTATTTACTATTCACTATATTTACTTTATAGTACCAAACAAATTTAGGAAGTTAAACAAAGCATTTCCTAAATGTTCTTAAATAATTTTTAGTCAAAGAAACTTTTAAATCCCAGACATTATTAAGAATTTACCCCACCATTATCCACTTAAAAGCTTATTTTATACTTAAAAATTTGTTACAACAGCAGTCTTTGCCAAAAATGTAATGAGTAGATTGCAAATCTGAAATACTTTTTGCACTCTGCCGTATTTATCTATGCCGCGCTCCATTTAATTTGCCGTCGTCCCCCATAAATACAATCAACAGTCATCAAAATCGCTTCGCTGCCAATTTCCCGTAGTCATGGTGCACAGGCACCCATCTCAAGATCCATTTCCAACTATCTGACAATCCGGACAGCCAACTCAGGCAGTTATATAGTTAGCCAGCCAGCCGGGAGCCAGAAGTGGCAACAATTTCTTGGCAAGCTCCTCCACGAGTTAAGCCAACTTGAGGGGGATTTGTGGGGTGTTTTGGGGGGAAAGTCGAACTCACCTTGTGATTGTTAAATGCCGATAGCGTTGCAATGGAGCCAAGTGGTCCCGGTGAACCGGTCGGACCGCAGCAATTAACGGGCAGACCTCCAATTGGCAGCGGACTCTTCTGCTGGCTGTTCTGCAGTTTGCGGGAACGTCTGCAAAAAAAATGTAGGGAAAAGGATGAGATTGACTTAAATACCCTTGCCAAACAAATAATTGTATCATTTATCTTCTTACAATTAGAGAAAATGGTTTTTCTAATCCTTCGCCCAAATTAAATGTGGTTTGATTTTAAGAGATAAAATATAATATTGAGGAAAAAAAGAAAATCTATGTTTATTTATTTACCCGAATTCACAGATTTACCGACTTCAAGAATCTATTTATTATTTATTTATTTATTTTGCTAAAATGGGTTTTAAATCATTTTCAATGGTTATTAAACACATTTGTCTTGTTTGCTTTCCAAATCAGGGGCAACTCTTAATAAACTTGTAATAAGAATTACAACATCCTTTAAAAGAGTATAATGTGGGGCTAGGCCTTGAAGATGATGAAGTGTGTTGATACTGTGCAGAGCATAAAGCGTAACAAATTCTACGCAGTTGCTGCGATAGGGCAAAAATAGACTGTATAGAAATAGAAAAGCGGCAATGACTTAAGGACCTGCGATAAATCAGGCAGGCACTTTGCACAGCGATTGGCTTTATTGTTGCTAGGCCATAACTCTTGGCTAAGGAAATGGGGAAAATTTAGAGAGAAAACCCACCTGCTGGCAGCGATGAACACAATCACGGCCACAATGATGGTGCCACAAATGGCTGCACTGGCCGCAATGGTAATCTTATCCATATTGGAGGCCTGCGAGGCCACAGTCCTCACTTCGCGACACTGCTGATAGGGAACTGTTTCGGGGGTGACATGCAGCTCCTCCAGCGAGATGACGCACACAATAATGCACTCCTGGGCGGGAACGTTCTTGATCTTGAACTCCCTTTCACTGGACTCCAGGGGTGGACCCTGTTTGAAGGCCTTCTCGCCGAACAGGCGATACACCACCCGGAATCCCAGTATATTGGCCGTGTCCGAATCCCACTGGATGATCACGGAACTGTCCTGCCGGAATGCGTGCTTCACCTGCACTTCGTTGGCATCGTCGATGCGAGTTCCCCTCTGCGGTGGATAGCCCAAGACAAGTGGTGGCCGCTGCGGCTTGTGAAGACCTCCAGCTCCTACTCCTCCATTATTTCCCCCATTGCCAGTGGTCACTCCTTGGCGCCATCCTGGTGCCTGTTTGCCATTCCCATTGCCATTTCCATGACCACTGGATGAAGACGACGAGGAGGAGGAGGAGGAGCTACTGCTGGTGGTAATGGAGGTGGCCTGCACGGTGCCCGTTCCATTCACCGAGAGATTCGTTGCTGGCGAAGCTGTGGTGGCTGAGGTACCAGCCGTTGACTTGGTAGGTGGTCGAGTCTGTTGGACAAATTAGTATATATATAAGCATTAAATATTATTATAAAATTAAGGCATTTGATTTATTTGGCAAAGTGTCGCCGAAGAACCGCCACTGAAAATATCGAGTTTTTATTTTTCAAAAATGATTTTAAACTTCATTTTACTTTACTTTTCTTGTGATAAAAAATTTCCAATTAATATATTTTTTTAATAGATTTTATTTTTAAAAGTTGCTAAAACCGTATACTTAAATTTTGATAATATCTTTTAAGATTTTCTTTAAACTGGTCAGCTTATTTCTCAGTTTTGTCCGATTTTAAAGAAACGTTAAACCATTCGCCTTAAATTTATTTCCTGTTAAAAACCGAATGAGTTACATGTCACTTTTAAGGTTTCTTGATTTATTTGACAAAGTGTAGCTGAGGAACCGCCAATATACAGACACTTTATGCCACCATGATGATACCAGTTCTCTCCTTTCCTTTCCTTTCCTTTCCTTTCCTTTTTTTATTTTATTTTCCCCCAATTTTAAACTTAACGATGCCATCATGTTGTATACTTGTTTTATCACCTGCCCACTCACCGTGCTGCGTTTGGTTGTTGGTTCTGCTGTGGTTGTCGTTGTCGTTGTTGTGGCCGTCGTTGTGGAAGTGGAGCTGCTCACAATGCTCGACACAGGTGCAGAGGCTGCTGTGCCAGTGCCCACTGTGCCAGTGCCCACTGTACCAGTTCCCGTACCAGTACCCGTACCCGTCTCATATTCCACGGAATCGGGGGATGCGGACTGAGTGGGCTTCAGGTTATCGGCCAGGCCAACAGGTCCTCGCAGGGCGGCATCGGCAATGTCCGGACAACTCAGCTCCTCCGGCTGAATCGAGTAGAAGCCCCGGTCCCGGAAACGTGGTGGGGTGCCACAAAACTGCGGATTCCGTTCTCGAGATGTTACCTGCGGGTGTGAAGGGGGAAAAAAACACACACACAAAACACAGTTGCCAAAGTTAATGAAACGAACGATGGCGAGTTTGAAAAAGATCCAATCGGAAGTGAACCATTTGACACAGGTTTTTATCGGGGCAACATAAAAAGGGGGGTTTTAGAGTCCTCCGCCAAATGGGGGTTCAAATTTGTCAATTATGTTTAACAAATGTTTTTTTTTATTTAAATAGGGTACTGCTCTAACTATATTTCTCTATTAACTTTTTGTTATTCCTAACCAAAAGTGCTTGTTTAAATGTTTGCAATAAATTATTTATGAGAACAACCAAAACAGAAATGAATATATTTTGATTACTTTACTTTTTGTTTAATTAGTTATTAAATCTTCAAATTAAAACTTCTTTATATTTTTATAAGATTAATTAATGGGAATATATTTTGTTAACTTTTAATATTTCAATTTTGTCTAAACATTATAATATTTGTAAGATATTTCCGTGTTTGAAAAGGCTTTCAGTATTTTAATTTAAAAAAAAATTAATTTCTTGTCTTGAAATTTTCACACTGAAAACATTTCATTAAAATCTAAATGAAATTAGTTTTTTTAAGTAATGAAACACACTTAGAAACCTACTTGGCTTTAAAGTGCCATTGAAAATCTAGATAGTTAAGAGTTTAAAAGGGCTTTAAGTGCCACTCCAGTTGTAAAGAAATCCACCCCAAAATTCCCCCATTGCAGTCACTCACCTGCAAGTCACCATTGCGAATCCACTCGGCCACCCAGCGCAACTTGCAATCGCAGTGCAGGAATCTGCCTCCGAGCGAAAGTCCTCGCAATGTGGCATTCAGGTGGGCGAATGCTCCCTCGGGCACACTGCTCAATGGATTTCCATCCAAGGCCAGCAGCGTGATGCCGGGATTTCCCCGGAAGGCAGCCTCCGGCAGAGTGGTCAGCAGATTGAAGCCGATGTCCAGGACACGCAGCTCCTTGAGCGAGTGAACGGCGCCAATGGGAAACTCGGCCAGCAGATTGTTGAGCAAACTCAGCGAGCTCAATGTTTTGCGCACACCCGCAAATGCCGTTTCGCCAATGCTCTGGATGAGATTCCTCTCCAAGTTGAGGGCTGTCAGGGCATCCAGACCATCGAACACTCGAATGCCACCGGCACCGGGCAGCTCTTTGATGCCATTTTGCGATAGATCGAGAAAAGCCAGGCTCCTCAGACCCCTAATACTTTCGGGCACCTTGCGCTGTTTGGTTCCCTTCAGATTTAGGTTCTTCAAGCTCTGTTCCAATCCCCTAAATGCATTGCCGGCCAAGGTAACATTGTTATCGTTCAGTTTCAGCGTGGAGAGCTTTGTTAAACCCACAAAGGCATCGTCGTTTATTTGGCTAAGCTGATTTTTGGACAGATCCAGCAGGTTTAGTTTGCCCAGCACCTTCAGCGCCTCAACTGGCACATCAGCCAGCAGATTATCCTGCAGATTGAGATTCCGCAGCACCGACTCCTGACCCTTGAACGCACCCCTCGCTATCCTCTGGATGCCGCAACTCGAGAGCTGCACATTGTGCAGGCTCAAATTGCTGAAAATGGCCTCGGGCAGCTCCACAATCGTGGAGTTGTTTACGTACAGCAAATCCACCGGTTTCAGCCGTGCATGGGTGTTCATCGCATCCAGGAGTTGCGGGAAATCCACCTGGGAAATGGATCAAATTGTGTAGTATTAATCTCTGTAAATATTGTTATATATTATGGAGTAACTCCCATGTTTTGCTAGTACTTTTAAAAAATTATATAGTCTATATTTTAAGCTTTAGGCACAGTGCTTTTGCTTGAAGCCTTAAAATTCAGTTCAAGAGTTACAACTTTTATTTTTTTAAATTTGATTTTATTTTAGGCTTAAAAACCAAAATTTCTAAGTAATAAACTTAGCTGCCTTTTTGAGCATATTGAATAACTAGTGTTTAAACCAAGGTCTTTAATCAAACCCCTCTGGGTAGAAATTACATTTATTTCTGAGTGTTGTCATTAAATCTTCTACTTTACAATGTAAATTAAATAAATTTAAAGCTAAACATACTAAATTGTTCAAAAAATATATACATATCGAATAGAGCTCAATGTATATGACATAAATCTCACCTGATCACATTGCACGGATAGCTCCCTGCCCAAGTTGTAGGCGCAGATGCAGCTCGTCTGCAGGTCGGGCACATCCCTCTGCCAAGGACACTGGGCGTGGGCCAAGTGCACACCTCCCAGGATTAGTGGGAGTAGCAGGAGCAGGGGCGTGGTCGCTGCTGTTGTTGCTTTTGTCGTTCGGCCTGGTCTCATCTTGGTGCCGGCATAGAGCTGTTGAGCAAATAAATGGAGAAAGACAGCTATTTTAGTTGGAGAGCGAGTGAATCTCGGGGCTCAATGAAAAAGTGAAGGTTGTCTGGGCCCAGTCGGGCCATAAATTACCCAATTAATACTGTCGCCTGGCAGGCAAATCTCCTACCCCATTTTCTAGTATCTTTTATTGGTCAGTTGGTCAACACTTGGGATTGGCGTAACTGTATAAGACATAAAGTGCACAGAGAGAAATACTAAAGATTTTTGGAAATTCGTTATCCACATTAACAGTAAAAATAGCAGATATAATGTAATTAATATGCCATGATGTATATTTATTATAATATTTTATTTGGTTGTGAAATAGTTTTTAGGTAATATTCAAATATGAAAATATCAATTTAAACTATATGATTTCCAGGTAATAGATTTAGCAAAATACATAAGTTAAAATATTCAAATAGGAATGAGCATAGTGTTTTTTCTCTGCATGTGAAATGCAAGTGGGAAAGCTTTATCAATCAGTTTTGGCAGGCTACTTTCAATTTCATTTTCATGCTCGTTAGCCAACAAACAGTGCGTGAAAGGAAATCTCCCTTCTTTCCCCATTCCCGGGATCCTTGGGGCAGTTTAGTTTTGATTAATTTGCCCGTCTGCCTGGTTGCGCCTGCCAAACGAGGTGCTTCAGTTCCCAGTTCAGTCCTCCTTTTGGCCATAAAATAGGCATAAAAACGGGGATGGATGGCCAGGATGAAAAGCAAGACGTAGCGAATGTAAATCCTTTGCATCCCTTTGGGGTATTTTTTTTTTTTCAAAGGACGAAACCGCCAAACGCAGAATATATATACAAAAAAGTGTTACGCGGCGCAGCTTTTTGTTAGCCATTTAATTTAATTTGGTCGGCTCATAAAAAAGCCAAGCTCGTGATATTTACCCCTTTTTCACTGCTTAACCCAGAGTACCCTTTTGACCGCCCTTTTAACCACTTTTTACCCCCCTCTCCACAACCACGCAAACAATAGCTGGTGACTCAAGGGTCAGCAAAGAAGCTGTTGACCTTTTTGCATAATCATGAGTTATGATGACACACAGTATTCGCCGCCTTTCTCCCTTTTTTTCGGCTGTTATTGTTTGAGACAATTTTTTATTCTCGCTGATCATTGTTATATTATGTGATTTCAAGCAGAAATTTTGAAGGAGTTAAAAGAACAGGTGAATGGACTTTCTTGTTTTTTTTCTTTATAAGCAAATTAAGCTAGGTGGAAATACAAGATTGGATTGTTTTGATTTAAATTAATGATTAAGCTAACTTTGTTGTGTAGAAGAGCACTTATTGTCATAATAATTTATTAAGAAACATTTCACAAAATCAACTTAATTAATTAATTTAATTATCTAACAAACATGGAAAAATAACAAAATATTTTCTATGATGTATTTAAATTATATATGATTACTCATTAGAGTTTAATTAATCTTTAGTCAAAATAGTTAAACAAAATATGTTTTTTAAGTGTATTTAAATGGTTCGAATATAAAATATGATTACTCATTGGAGTTGAATAATCCTAACCGTAAACTAATGCTATAAAATAATCAGCATTTAAAGTTTTCGTGCCCTCATCCATCAAATAATCAAATTTACTTGTACAGATTTCCTGTATAATTTCAAATCAAAGCAAGAGCTTATGGATATTTTACTGGATTGCAATTTAAAGTAGCCCCATCTGCGAGATAAACCGCAGAATAATAATTAAACTGCACGCTTCGCTGCATCCCAAATAATAATAAACATTTTGTGTCTTTTGATTGATAGTTTTTTCTCGTTCATCTCGGCAGCTGTGTCACGCCTCCCTGAATCCGAAAGATACTTATAAGTACTTCACCCCCCTTTTTGAGGTTGATGTTTCAATTGTCCGTTGCGCCTGACTTCATTTTTCATGGCATTTTGGGTTTTTGTGAGCGGTATTGTCTCCTCTCTTCCTTAATTCAACTTATAAATTGCATTACGTGGCTAAATCCGCGGGGAGGAGGCAGAAAAATATTTCAAGCTCCACTGTGCAATCCTCATTTTCCAGCTCTTTTCTTTTTTTTTTTTGATGCCCTATGCTTGCTTCACATTTCTCATTTCTCACTCAACTGTCTGGCCACAAATTTAATTAAAAAATTCTTGCACCATTTTATTCCCTTTCTTTTATTCGCACCAAGTCGCCTTTTGTTGTTTTTCTTCTGCGTATTAATTGCATCACTAAATTTTTTAATGCGCGAAAAGTGCGAAAATTGCAGCGGGAAAACAAAGGAAGAACTGCAGCTCTGAATGAGTGAATAAATGAAAACCGAATCGGGTACCGTTGGGCAGCGAAAATGGGACTAAAAAAAATATATTTGTTTAATTAAGGTCTATTTAAATACCCTTGAAAATATTGAAATGATTTAAATGCAGATTATTGAAAAATTGATGCACAAGACATATATATTTTAATATACATATATTATATTTAAAGGCATGCCTCACTCATTATATTTTTATATATTTTGCGTTTATTAAAATACATTTTATAGAAGAAAAAAATATAATAATAATTTCATATATTTAACTATTTTTTAACAAGCGAAAAATCTGATCATAAAAAAAATCTGACATTTTTAAATAAGGAAGTTAAAATAAAAAAAAAATTAATTTGGCTTAAAAACTTTTTTTAAAACATTTTGAATTTTCCTTAATATATATCCGTTTTAAAAACAGCTTAATTAAAAAAAAATACCCTAAATCATAAAATAATTTAAGTCTCAAGTTTAGCCAACAACAAAATTGCTTTTGGTTCCCTAACATTTTACTCTGACATTTTTAAACTCTTCCCCAGGGTATTTACCGAAAATTGCAACTTTTTTGTTCTCACACCCCGAAAACTTGAAAGGTGCAAATGATTTTTCTATCCCACTCACTCAGTTGTTGTTTCTTTTGTTGTGGCCCCATAATTATTCACTCTTTTTTTTTGCTTTTTGGTTTTTTGGTGGTCGTTGGCTTGGCAAATTTGCATTTTTAGACAATGGTCCAGCGGTTAATTTTTTCTTTCTGTTTTTGTTGTACTAGACTTATTTTTGTTTTCAACCACCTGCCTTTCGGGCCAAGTTAGGCAATCTTCTGGCTCTCACCATCATCGCACACCTCTAGGCACAAAAATGTTTTAATTGAAGTTTTATTTAACAAAAGCCGGGCATACTTCTTGTGGGCGTGGATTTTGGGGCGGGCGGGGGGTGCGACCATGGGCGTCTGGGCTTAAGGTCACATAATGCTGTTAAGCATTTAAGTGGATTAGAATTTCTGAGGTTGAAAAAAAAGTGAATTTGCTTGTGGAAAAAGTTGTCAATTGAAAAGTTTTTATATAGATGGGATTATATATAGAACTAGTTGGTGTGCGTTGGTTGATAATCTTTTAGGTCAGCTTAGCCACAGGAATTAAAACGTGACCGACAGAACAAAAAAATTTGGGTTGCTGTTTGAGCTTGCAGCGATAAAGTTTGAAGCCTTTTTTGGGGCATATTAATTTTGTATTTTCAGGAGAGAATTATCTTTTGATTTGGTGTTGAACAGGGGCTATAAAGATAATACAAAATGCTTATTAAATATTTGGGCACATTAAATCTTATCATTTTGTTTGTCTTATCACAATAAATTCCCAGAAAATCCTATAAAATCCACCTTAAACATTCCATTTTTTGTGAAGGCCAAAAAACCCATTTTCATTTTACCGCAGCTTTTCCTTTTGGCCACTCAAGCCGACCGAAATGCTTAGTTCTGCCACCCCCCAGAAAAATAAACATAAGTCGGACTATTTTATGGTGATGGGTGGTAGAGAACCCAGAAAACATAGACATAGACTTAATGACTTGAAGAACATTTGATGTTTTTATTGCATTGCAACTAAAACGAAAGTGTCGAGGGGAGAGTGGCTGGCATTAGGTCAATAAAAGAGTCAAGAGCCATTTGTCTCCTGCTGCCTTGTTGAGTGTTGAGTGCAATTTTGGCCACTTTAAAAACCTTTTAAGCAGCTGCTCCTTCCCTACAGCTGTCCACACGCAGCCACTAATAAGGCAACTTTTATGCAAATGCCAAGTGCAGCAGCTTCAGCTCCAGGGGCTCCCTTTTTTGGGTTGGCCAACATCCGCTGTCGTGGTCCAAATAACTCACTTCCACCGGCTAAATGCAGCCCACACTGGTAAAAAAAAATCGTAGTAAATCCAAGTAATTTTCCTAAATTGGGCTTTGATTTTTAACCTTTGCGGCTTTTAGTTATTTTAATTTTCTATCTACATTTTATTTCTGAAAATATTAAATTTTGTATAATGTTTAATTTGACTAAAGGTAAACAATTTTACCTAATTAACTTAAATATTAATAATATTTTTCTTGCAATCAAAAAATTTATTAAAATATAACTTAAATATAATCTTTTTGATTCAATTCATTTAAAATTATTTATGCATTGTTATTAATATAATATCATTGCATTTAAATTTAAATATTAAATATAATGTGTTGGATTCAATAGCCCAATATTTATTTTCACTATTCCGATTTTGATCAGTGCATGTAGTCTACTCGGAAAGTTCAGCGAACTCTTTTGGCTGAGTCACCTCCACTTTGGGACAGGACTCATTGGCTATGCAAGACCAGAGGGCCACGCACGCGTTGACAGCCATGATGAGCGTGAATATCAATTGGTTTAGCAGGCGGGGGCATGGCATACACTCCCATAGTTTTACCCTGCTATATGCATAGCTAGTTGGCAGTGAGCTCGCTTATAGCCAGCCACATTTGTCGTCTTTGTCGGGTTTATTGTCAAGAAACTGACTGAGATTGCCCCAAAGAATGTGACTGATATGCCCAAGAGGTGGAGGCCGATTCGACCCAGGTGAGGGAATGGTGGGACAGCCATGAAAAGGTTGAAAAGATAAAAACACAGATGAAATCTCAAACGCATAATGCTCAAGTTGAAGACTGTGATTCGCAGAAG